CATCCTAAAAAGGACGGAAAGTTATACTGAGTTTTACTAACTCCTTCGTTGGAAACCACTTGGTCTGTTGCAAGGAGTTGGTGTCACTTGAAGTTTCAATCATAGCATGTCACATAACTAACGTTTAGTCCTTAAACTGTAGTGTATGTCTTTTGATTTATGCGTCTTTCCTCTACCTTTACAAGTGCCAATCAGTACATGCTCATCAAGAACGATTGCCGGGATTTTAGACTGTGTTTTTTCCTTGTCATCCCTTTGTGGGATGCAATTTTTCGTTATTTGAAGCACTACTCTGGCTCTTGCCAGGGGCCGCAATATAGCCCGGCCATAAATATGGTCTAATGGTTGAACGCGGTTTCTGGGACCTCTCCAAGGGTGATCCTCGTCCAAATAGTGGCACTTTGTGTCATCGGGTGTTTATCGCTTGTGTGATGTCCTGGTGGGGTAAAATAAGGTAACTAGATAGATAGATTTTAGACTATTATTATTAAAGAAGTATTTAAACGATACACAGGAGTGGCTCTTCAAATGTTACGAAAAGTTTAAAAAAGTGTTACACTTACACTACTACACTCCGATATGGGCGCCAATGGGAGCTCTGGAGATGTCCAGGTGGTATGCCATCTGTTGAATGGTGTCCAGAGTTACAGCTGCTGCAGCGATCCTCTCTTTAAGATGCTGGATATTTCTTATAATCATCAGTTGCCTTGCCGACTGGCGTGGGCGATCATGCCTCTCCACAATCTGCGATCTCCGGCAGCATATATCAGTTCGTGTGTCGACACACCTCCATGCCATGCAACAAGACTGTCAAAAATCTTCTCTCGTCTTCCTCCTTCCACATATTAATATCTTTCCAGTGGTCACCACATGTTCCATTTTCTCTCTTCTTATAACCATGGCCGACAAATGATGACTGTTTCCTTCTGATGTCTGTGATAAGTTGTCTTCGGGCTCCCGCATTTTTCAAAACCCCTTGGTTGCTCTTTTTGGCTGTCCAAGGTATTTTAAAGATTCTCCTGTAAAACCACATCTCTGAGGCCTCAAGAAATTGTTTGGCTTGCCTACCGATTGTCCAGGACTCACAGCCATATGCTAAAACTGGATGTATGTAGCAAGCAAGAATTCTTTTTTTTTTCTAACCTTTAATGACAGAGACATTTTTTGCATAAGATGTTCATTTTATAAAATGCAGTTTTTTGCCTATCCTTTTCTGTTTTTTATCTCAGTAATGCATCTTCCATTTGATGTTATCCTAATGCCCAGATTATTAAAATTCTGTACTTGTCCAAAAATAGCACCAGTGGCTTTTATTACACATTTAGCATTAATTCTTTTCTTTGATACCACCATTACTCCTGGCTTTCCATTATTCAAACTGAGGCCCATTCTTCTTATACAAAAATGAACTGTCTGGCTCACTAGCGTAGTTGGTTAAACCTGACCTCCCGGCAACCGAGGGTAGGCAGAAAAGCCTAATTTCTCCCAGATTTACAGTACCTATCATGGGATCAAGGTCGAAGAGTTGCAATATCCATAGTACCGAGCCAAAGGGTTAACACATTAAGCACATTCACTGCATGAAACAAGGTCCAGAAGAAATTACACTTTATGTTACAGAGATCCTGCAGGAAAGACACTTTAGGGAGTACAGGCAGTGTTAAAAGAATTCCACACAAATGTTACTTTACAGTCTACAGGGAGTGTTACAGAGGTCCTGCAGAAATGACACTTTAGGGAGTACAGGGAATGTTACAGGAATTCTGCAATAATTGCACTTTATAGTCTACAGTAATACAGAAATCATGCAGAAATGACACTGTAGCCTACAGCAAATGTTAAAGAAATCCTGCAGAAATGACACTGTAGTCTACAGGAAATGTTAGAGATTTTGCAGAAATGACACTTTATAGCCTACACAAAATGTTCCTTGTATCTCAGATTCACTACGGCTTTAAAGGAAACACCCCTAATTAACTCTTTGAGTCCCAAGGAACGCATAATACGTTCACAGGTTCCTACCTAGAAGCCCAATGAACGCATGATGCGCCGATTTTATTACTTTCTTTACTACCCCCTGGGCCTGTGATGCTAAACCCCCTGGGCCTGTGATGCTAAACCCCCTGGGCCTGTGATGCTAAACCCCCTGGGACTCAAAGAGTTAATCACCTCCTATGACAAGCTTCTTGTAGGGGCAAGGGGTCTATTCTTTCTTCTCCAAGATGGAGCCCCAGAACGGACATGGAAGACAAAGACTTGAAAGCCTTCTCCAGAACCACAAATTTCAACACAACTATTAGCCTTGTTTCGGTGAAATGTGTTGGTTGTTATTTTTAAGTTGCTCTCTGTGTTAAACTTCTCTTCGCTAAGGGCTGCGATTCCTAGGCTTATTCATAGCACAATATACATTATCGTCTGGAAATAAAGAAAGATGCCAACAATTGCCCTGTTGCAGATTAAAGACATGTCTCTTTGAGTTTCTGAGATTCAGCTCTGCACCAAACAGCCCAAAAGAGCAGTGGTCCCCGAATGAGCTAAGACCTCAAAATCCCTCTTATTTTCAAAGGTCTGCCAGGAACTTCATACTGAAGAACTCATTACAACTGCAGTGTTTAGGAGGCCCAGAGATGGATATTTTAACTAAAAATAGTATTCAGGGGTTCCTTGTGAGCCTAATGGCTTTTTATAAAAGCACACTGATATAAATTTTCCTGTAAACCTCAGTGATCAAGGCTGTAAGGTCACAACAGGAGTCATCAGATACATATTTGTTTTAGGCTAGAGGAATGTATTCCACTTAAGGCTTGACTCTGTTCGTGTTCATTGATTTATTCTCCTTAAATATTTTTAGATATTTCAAACAATTTAAAAAAAAAAATTGAAAAAATTCAACAGAATTGTTCACAAATATAAAAGTTTTAAAAATGTTGTATTAGTGAGTGGAGTAAAATTGTTGTGTTTTAAAAATGACTTGTTAACAGGAATTCAAATGGGTTTATGACCCTTTTTTTTCAATCATTCACATGGCAAAAGGGTTAAATAACTGTTATCATATATTCTTTCTTAAAAAAAAAATTATGTGTCAATATTTACATTCAGATTGGGTACTTTTGAACAGAGAAAGCAAAAAAGAGTCAGACATTTTCTCTCTACACATTGAAGTAATTTTGAGGGAAATTAAAGAGAAAGCAGGAATAGGAGTTGGAGAGTACAATATAAACAACTTGCGTTATGTGTGGTTTCTGAGATAAATATTACAAATACCTTGGACAGCCAGAGTAACTAACAACGATTGTTTGAAAGAAGCTAATGAAAGTAGATCTCTATATACAACAATAAGAAGGAGATAAACACTGCTCTTTGGCCATATAATTGGAAGAGAGGCATTGGAATACATTGTGACAAGTGGAAAGATAAGAGGTTAGAAGGCAGACCAAGGGAGATGATGCTAGATGGGCTGAAACAATGACATGGAGGGATATCATCAAGAGAGCTGTTCCAATATCTCTCAAGATGCATGAGCATGTACCCCAATTGGCAGGGCACATGTTGATGATTTATATATATATATATATACATACATACAGACATACATACAGACAGACAGACAGACAGACACACAGACAGACAGACACAGACAGACACAGACAGACACACAAACAGACAGACAGACAGACACACACACACACATATATATATATACACACAGTAAAACTTCAATTAACCCTCACCGTCCAGCCCAGGGCTGTGACAGACAACTAAATAGACGGATAACATAAACATCCTAATACATATTTACAGTAACGTGATTTCACTGCAGGCTTTGGATGAAAATGAAAATAAATCCTTTAAAAGTGAATAATACACACATATTGTATTTAATTTTACAAAACGATCAATACAAACTTCAGAATAGGAGCAGTAATGTACAGTAATGTACTGTAAAACCATAAATCCACGTTACTTAAAATAATCTGTCATCTCCTTCTGTGTCTTTGAGGCTGGAGCTTTCTGTACGTTGTTCGATATCTTACGTAGAAGTAGGATCTATGTTGTGTTTGCCTCCACTTGCACTTCAAACCAGTTGATGCACCTTGATCACATTATTTCATCACACAGTAAAATCACTTCCAGCTTTATACAGTAGAACATACAAATAATCCATGGAACGTTTTAAAGATGACTGTCTGTCTTTTAATACTCAAGCATTCTTTTAAGATGATGAGGGATAACAGAAACTGACAGTTAAACGGATGCTGATTAATTACAGTTTTGCTGTATATTTATATTTTTTAAATTTTAATTTGTGCTGTTTTCACAAAAGAAGTCCGCTACAATGAATCCAGTGCTAACTGTGATTATTCTTCTATTTTGTATTCACCAGCTGTAAACTACAGCATAAAGTTCTGGTTGTTAGTCCATTTCTGGACTTTGGTCTTGGTCCAGAACCTGAGTGTTGCATGCACATCCGTTTTACAGATCTGAATAATTTGTATGCAGACTATTGGTTGCTTTTTCTCAGGCAGATGCACTGCGACTTCGAAGGAGGCCTCCGAATTAGTCGACTCTTACAACATGCTTGTTGGAGAGGCATTGGGTCTGTTCTTGTTTTCCTCCACTATGGAGCCCAGAACCCATACAGGGGTAACTCTGAATAATATATGGTTAGGCCCCAAACTCTTCCAAGGTGAGATTCTCATACCACTGACTGAAAACCACTAGAACCATCTTTGCCCAAACCATGAACCGTGGGAAGTGAACCCTAACTGTGGAAACTGAACCCTTGTAAACATCAAGGGATTACCATATAAGAACTGTACAATTATGTCACACACCCACAGGAGTCCTTAATGAAGATCAGCCGCAGGCAAGGTGTCCATGAAAAAAGCAGTCTATGGCACTGTCAATGACCACAAGCTGCTGACATCCAATTCTCCATCAAAGTCTGTCTATGATTTCCGAGACTTGGGATGTCCATGAAAAACTGTCCGCATATACAACTAGGAGTCAGAGACGACAATGTTGGAAGACTGTGGAGCACAATATGGAGCTCCCAGAAACTTATCCGCTATCCGACCTGCCTCCCGGAATCCGCTGAGTAGAGCACCATGAACCGTGGCTGGGTAGTTACGTATGGTATGTTCTCCAGCGAAAAACAAGCGAGCTGGAGCCCCAACTTGGTGGGCAATGGGCGACGACAGGAGATCATAATCGTTGCCAGATGAACCTGCAGCAACGTAGGAGTAGGAACCTCGGGCATAAGGATCCGCTCGCCATCTGGACACAAGCGTTTCTTTGGGCTGAGAACAAGGAACAAAGTAAAGCATCATTTATGCAGGGTTGTTCCTCTGTTAACAGGTTGAGAGCTGAGCATTTAAAAAGAATATAGCACTAAATACACTTGATGGCAACAACGGTCCTAAAATCACATACTCTTCTTCTTCTTCTCCTCGTTCACCGGCTATAAACTCCAGCAGAAAGTTCTGGGTGTTCGTCCACCTCCGAACTTTAGCCTTGTTCCAGAACCTGAGTGTTGCGTGCACATCCATTTCCCAAATCTGGCTTATTTGTATGCAGACTGCTGGTTCCTTGCCTCTCAGGCAGATGCACTCTGACTTCGAAGGATTTCCCCAATTAGTCAACTCCTACAAAATGTTTGTTAAGGAGGCAGTGGTCTATTCTTGTTTTCCCCACAAAGAGGCCCCGGAACCCAAATGGAGTTCTACATCCCTTGCTCTAATTTTAGTAGACTTTTCTAAAAGCTGGCGGGTCTTCCCATGCTGTGAGTTCCCATGCCTCTCCATAGCGCAATACAACACTAAAATCTGGAAAGTCAGAAAGGTGTCAACACTTGCTTTGTTGAAGATCAGACATATAGAATTGTCTCTCTGAGTTACCGAGATTCGGCTCTGCACCAAATGAGATCTCCGTTGCAAAAGGTCGAGCCATTTGCCTTGTGTTCTGAATGTTGTGGGTTCATTTCAAGAATGCATTGTTCAGTTCACTAGTGCAATTTTTATGGAGATGCTTGGTCACTCCCACAGTGACTACAATTGATGCACTGTGTGACACTCTTGGGGGCGGAGCCTAGCTATTCTGCAGACAAAATTTGAGCCTCAATAGGGTTTTGATGGCCCTCTTCCTCATCATCTTTCCTTCTCAGTTGAATGCTGAATTAAGAATCAACATTAAAGCACCTGGGACATTTCCATAAACACTCCGTCACCATCAGCAGCAGCAAGCGCAGAATGTCAGTTTGTGATTGTATATCCGCCTCACCCCTCCCCTAAGTGTCGAGCTTGTTAAGTATCAATTTCTTCCCAGATAATCCTAGAACTTTCTGGAAATTATTTTGTACTCTATTTTACTGGCTGGGACTACCCTAGAATCAGTCGTACTGGTAGAACAAACAAACAAATCCTACCACTCCTGGTAAATGAACCAGGGCCATGATTCTACAACACCACAACTCCTAAATATAGGATTTCTTTTTCTAAGGTTTGTTCTTGCTACACTGGAAAGGACATGAGTCAAATCTTCATTATTACTGTGTTAAAAGAAGCCTCGGTAGTGTAGCATCTAGATGCTCACCTGTTGGCCCAAAATCCTTGGGTTCGAATCAACATTATGGTGGATTTTTTTTTCTAAACTTAACAAAGTTCCCAGATCGGTCCAGCATAAAATGGTGACTGAATGTAACATGGTCTATAAAAATATAAGTTTAACATCATATGCCCAATTCCCCACAGGCCCTTTGGAAGTGAGTAAACAGTTGCGTAGGCACACATACACCATTGCGGTCTGAGGAGAATGGCACTGCGGGGAGTTACCAGGGGATCTGGCCAATACTCAATGGAAAGGTTACATCAGACAGTTACTGGTACCATCGGAACTGGAATTCGCTTGCTGGTGAAAAGGGGGATAGAGAGCTAATGGGGGTGTCCCGTGTGCTGTGATGTGATTCTGAATTCAAAATTCCAAAGGCATGAAGAGGGTACTCTACTTAAGCTTTGGTTGGCCAATACACAAACTTCTATGCCATCACTTCTTCTTATGTAGGATCTTGATTTGTATGGCTTTTTTTCTTCACCAGATCGGGAAGGAAATGGGTCAATTCTTCATAATTAAGATGTTAACTTGTTCAGCATCAAGGAAGGCATCACAAGCTATTTTATAACTTGAATGTTATCAAAGCGAACAGTTCCAATTCCAATGGTACCAGTAACTGTCTGATTGTATATCCGTCTCGCCTTTCTCTTGAGTGTCGAGTGACAACCAGATCCCCTGATAACTTCCTGCACTGAAAGAATATTTTCTATGGATTTTGTACTTTATTTATAACTTATTTAACTAACCACTGGCACCAAACTTCTTCACCATCAACGGCTGTAAACCCCTGGTGGAAAGTTCGTTCACCTCTGGACTTTAGTTGTTTTTGGAACCTGATTATTGCCTGCAGATCCACTTTTCAAATCCGAGATATCTGTATGCAGACCGTTGGTTCCTTGCCTCTTAATAAGATGTGCTGCAACTTTGAAGGAAGCCCCCAATCAGTTAACTCTTATGACATTGTCGGGTAGGCAGTGGGTCTATTCTTGTTTTCCCCGCAATGGCGCCCTGGGACCCACATGGGGATATCCATAATTAAGATGTTAACTCCTTTGGCACCAAGGGACGCGTCATGAGTTGATTTATTACTAATTTAATTGAACTTTGGAACCTAAACATCGCCGCCATTCCTACGTGGCATGCAATTTTTCGCTATCTTGAAGCCGCACCCTTACTGTTGCCGGGGCCCTATTATAACTTAACGGTTGAGTAGGGTTTCTAGGACCTCTCAACGGGTGATTCTCATCCGAATGGTGGCACTTTGTGTCACTGGGTGTTTATCGATCTGTGTGATGTCCTGGGGGGGGGGGGGGGGTGCTTACCTACCTACACACACAAAATTAAAAGCACTCACCTGAGGAACAGCATTAGCTCCAAATATGCCCCTCATGACTACCAGACACCTTCCAATGATGACATCATCACTGACATTCTCCATGATGGCCGCAGCTTCCCCGGCAATGAGAGCCAGGAGAACTGGGGCCTTGTAGAGGTTCCAGAAGAGAAACAGTTCACCTCGGCTAGCAGTGGTGCTGCCCACGTGGCCAAAGAGGTTGGCACTGGGATCCCAGAAAACACGGTCGAAACACAGCACAACCTGTGTAAACAAAAGGCAATGAAATTTTCAGTGCTGACTGGTTAGTTTGGTGCTCGTCGTTGGCTGCAGTCCTCTCTTCCACATTCATAGTGTATCTGTTATTGTGGTCACTCTGCTGAAGTCAATTAGGCGGTTTGCTCCCTACTACATTATGGGCATTCTCCATCATCCAAGGAGACTTCCATAAATGTAGAGCCGACACATGGCACTCTGGTCCTGGGCGCATTGATTTTCCATTATCTGCTTATTTTCTGCTGAAGTAAATTAGGTGGTTTGCTCCCCACTACATTATGGGCATTCTCCATCATCCAAGGAGACTTCCATAAATGTAGAGCCGACACATGGCACTCTGGTCCTGGGCGCATAGATTTTCCATTATCTGCTTATTTTCTTTTTAAAAAAAAAATTTAATTGCACTGCATGTAAATCCAAAAGTATTCAGTCTCCATTCACAGATATCCAAGGTAAGTGCTATCTGTTTTGTAAAAACACTGGATGAATTCAAAACTCTTCCACTCTCCTGTGTTATTCATCCAACCATAAACAATATTTCATCCAAACTCTAGAAGTCTTTAGCTTGTTAATTAAACTGCAGCAACCATGAAGAAAAACACCAATAACCATATAGATCACACATCTTATTCTGAATGAACTATCAGACCGCATCTATTCAGTAATCTACTACTCCACGGCTATGTTTTACATAGTTTTCTCACACAGAGCTCTTCAGGAAGTATCCTTTGAAGGAATTAAAACTGGCAAAGAAAATTAAATTAATCTGTGTCTTTATGTCAGATTTCAAGACCATAGTTACGTCTACACTCTAGGATAAAAGTGGAACAACAAAATATCCAACCATTTTCAGACTGCGGGATTGTGCTCGCATATGTGTATTTGTTTGGCTCTTGTCTGTCTTTCCAGATGACAGTGTTCCATGCGCTATAGGGAGGCATACAAATAAGTCCATGGTGATAGGCAGTTAAGGCCAACGATGTGTTGCCCATGCATGTGGTATACGAACCTGAATAATTATGCCAAACAAGTTCTTACTTGTCACTGAAAACATTATACCCACGCTGACACAGTCACTTGGGAGAGATCTGACACAGTCATTTGGGAGAGATCTGACAGTCACTTGAGAGAGATCTGACATAGTCACTTGAGAGAGATCTGACACAGTCACTTGGGAGAGATCTGACACAGTCACTTGGGAGAGATCTGACATGGTCATTCTAAAGAGATTTGACAGTCACTTGGGAGAGATCTGACACAGTCACTTGGGAGAGATCTGACACAGTCACTTGGGAGAGATCTGACAGTCACTTGGGAGAGATCTGACAGTCACTTGGGAGAGATCTGACACAGTCACTTGGGGGAGATCTGACACAGTTACTTGGGAGAGATCTGACATGGTCATTCTAAAGAGATTTGACAGTCACTTGGGAGAGATCTGACACAGTCACTTGGGAGAGATCTGACACAGTCACTTGGGAGAGATCTGACACAGTCACTTGGGAGAGATCTGACAGTCACTTGGGAGAGATCTGACACAGTCACTTGGGAGAGATCTGACAGTCACTTGGGAGAGATCTGACACAGTCACTTGGGAGAGATCTGACAGTCATTTGGGAGGAATCTGACATAGTCACTTGAGAGAGATCTGACACAGTCACTTGGGAGAGATCTGACACAGTCACTTGGGAGAGATTTGACAGTCACTTGGGAGAGATCTGACACAGTCACTTGGGAGAGATCTGTCACTTGGGAGACATCTGACACAGTCACTTGAGAGAGATCTGACACAGTCATTTGGGAGAGATCTGACACAGTCACTTGGGAGAGATCAGCTGCAGACTGACCACTATAGAGGCAGACAGTGAAAGATGAACTGTCGCAGTTTGCAAGAAGCCCAATGCAGTAAGCTATAGAGACAAGATGTCAGAGAGTAAACCAGCCTCACAGAACATCAATGTCTTTTGTGTGGACTATGTGGCCGAGACAGCCACTCTCACACTGGAACTCAAAACCAGCCGCACAATGCTGTCCCTAGGGACTAATGGCTGCCTACACAACTTCTACACACACAAAGCAGAGGGAAAGATAGGAGACGATCTATCAAGGACAGATCATAGGATCAGCAGACTCTACCTTATTGAGATTTCCAAAGCCGAGTCTCTCGATAGCATCAACCTTCCAGTCGGGGAGAGGAGGAATAAACTGGGGCACGCTGGGAGAGCTGCGGACACACTCCTTGAGAACACCCAGAGGGAGGGTACACAGAACAGCATCTCCCTTGTAGACTTGTTGGTTGGTTCCATTCTTGTTTGTTGTCACCACTTCTACACCTGTGAGGGAAACACATATAAGACAGTTACTAAACAAACAAACAAACTTTATTTCCACGCAGTCCCATCTTACTTTCGGCCCTTCCAAGCATCCATCTTTCAGATGGCAGCTGCATTTTATATATCAAGCATTTTATTTTAGGTTGGCAAATTTAGTTGTATAATTGTAAACTGTAAAATACTGTAATCTACTGCTGTCCATTGAGTACACATAAGACAGTGTAATCTTAACTACTACTGTCCAGTGGGCACACATAAGACAGTGTAACCCACTACTGTCCAGTGAGCACAACACTCTCATTCTCTTCTTCTCAGTCTCTTTTTTTCTCTCTCTCTTTTCAGTCTTCTTCACTCCTCTTTTTCTTCTTCACTAAATCAGACTGTTAACGGGTACCATTGAAGTTGGAACTGTGCTTGCTGCTGAAAATGGGAATGGAGCACTTATGGGAATGTCCTAAGTGCTGTGATGTCCATTTTTGATTCAACATTATTGTTTACTCTTCTGTTCCCATATTCTCTCTTATTTTGGCATTCTTCTTTTCGGATCTCACTTTTCTCCTCTCTTTTTCTCTCACACACGTACTCACACATGCACACATGTCAACGATACTAAGGCAATGTTAACACCATTGTCAATAAAATATTACAATCAAGTACAAGCAACAACAGCGCCAGACTCTCTGTGACATTACAACCACTAATAAGAGATTCCGAAAAAAAAAGTACAGAGATTAAAAGTTACATTCCCATGCCTTGCGCATATGGCTCCATATTTACAGACAACTGGCACGTGAAAGTGGTGTTGTCAATATAATGCCAACTAATTATGTTTCCTAGAACGCTGCTTGGAATTTATAGGACCAAGTCAATCTGGCAAATCAGCAGTAGTCCAGCTTCAATCCCCAGGTATGACCAAATTTGATTTTTCTAACGGTATCACTCTATAATTCAGTGTCTGTGGTTATTCACTGTGAATGCCATTAACATCTTTGACCATCCTGTCTGTCACAACCATCACAAGACCCAAAAACAATAATGACTGGTTCTAATGCGGACAATTAATAAATATCTGTTTCCTGTGTGGGTTGCGGAGCCCCATTTAGGGCTGCTTCCTTCTAAATCAAGAGTGCATCTTGCATGAGAGGCAAGGAACCAAGAGTCCTGATACAAATAAGCCAGATATGTAAAACAGATGAATACGATAAACTCAAGTTCTGGAACAAGACCAGAGTCCAGAAGTGGACAAACAACAAGAACTTTCCAGCGGAGTTTACTGCCGGTGGACGCTAAGAAGAAGAAGAAGATTAATAATTGTGAAGTGATCTCTCGTAGTACTTGGATATTTCAGTCACATATAAAATTCTTTTGTCAGTGACTTTAGGGTTACAAACATGGTTCAGAATTCCAAAATATCCAGTTTCAGCTGCAGATAATTTGACATCAGCCTGCTCTACATTGCCTTTGACAGTGGTTTTGAACATCAACCGTTTGAGAAACAATGGCAAATGACTGAACATAAATTCGCCCTGTTAAACCACAGGGAACAAATGCTGGGGTTGGTTCACAAACGTCCTGTGAAGCTGGCATGTTCAATGGAGGGTCCACCAAGGGCCTTATAGGTCATATATGTGTCATCATGAGGGCCACATATGACAACTAATAAGAGTCATTTGAAAAAAAAATTTATTGCCGAATATTTCCATCATGCGGGCCATAGGTGTGCTTGCAAAGGGCCGCCTGTAGCCAGAAGACCAACCAGTTTTGACATGCCTGTTGAAAGTATATACAAATAACTTCATGGAGTTCTTAGCAAGCAATCTACAGAGAAACCACATCTCTGTTGTCTCCAGAGGCTTGCTTTTACATATTAGAACTACCAAATGAGCAACTGACCTTTGTCCAGAACTTTGATCTGTTTCACCACTGTATTGAGTTTGTAGTCAAGTCCCTCAGCCAAAGCCATCGGAACACAGGAGTAGCCATTCCTCACTGGACATCGGTCAGAAATCAATCACAAGAACATTTAATCATTTCAATCATGCAGACAGGTTAAAGTCTTTCAATGTGGAGAAATAAACATGACAGAGTCAAGAGGATCAACTACATTGCCTGTGTTTACCCCACATGGCTTGGTCTGTCTCCACAGAATTAGCTCACCACCAGCCGAGAGCGTGCGTGGCACAAAGCAAAAACTCGGTAGCTCCAGCAACAATCTCCAGGGAACTCCCTTTAAAATGCCACTGAACGAGGCCTCCCTGAAATGAACTTACAACACTGAGAGAGTGAGGCAAAAGGTGTGACCACTTCGCCATGGACAGAATGAGAATTTAGTTACCGCTGGAAAATTTGATGGGTAGAAGAGTAAAAGGAAAGCAAAGACATAAATACCCAGAAGGAGTGACCAGCCTGCACTGTCAGGGCAAGAACACAGACCTAATCCAAGATTGGTGATTTTACAGAAAGGATTTATGTCTGCATGAAGGGAAATAATCAAATACAAACAAGGCAAAGAATTAAACAAGGCAAAGAATTTCATCTGACAACGCAAGAGGAAGACAAAAAAAGTGAATATCTAGAGGGAGTGGCCAGTTTGCACTATGAGGACAAGAACACTGACCTGATCCAAGAGTGGGGATTGTATCAAGTAACAAACCATGATTACCAATGTTTGATGGCATAAAGCTAACAAACTTCTGATAGTTTACAGCCAACACTGTTTATAAAGATGACTTCAAGCTGATCTCAAGGTGAAAGATGTCTATGCTCATAACACACACACACACATATTCCCTGTGTGGATTACAGGGCCCCATTTGGGTGGATGGGGAGCTCACTACTGCCCTGTGCCCTAACAAGCATGTTATAAAAGGCAACTAACTGGGGGTGCGTCCTTGGAAGTCGGAGTGCAATCTGCCTGAGAGGCGAGGAACCAACAGTCTGCATAAGCCAGATCTGTAGGTAAAACAGATGTACATGCAAAGTTCTGGAACAAGACTAAAGTCCAGAACCAATAGACAGGAAAATACATCTAACTCCTCTCTCTGGTACTTTATGGCACAACCAATAGGATAAAAGAAACAAAAAAGAGGAAGAAATCATCCAGTGGCATGCCACTTCCTACTTCTGAAACTGAATTAATTTGTTTTTGTAATAATAAGTTACATAATATTTTTTAGTTTAAATATAAATAGAATAATTAAATATTATTAAAACCTATTTGTAAACAAAAAGACAAAAGCATTTAATTATTGTTTAAGAACACATTTTGACCAAAACGAATCTTCATACTGTCTGTTTCCCTGCAGCAGAATCTACTGTCTTCCTCTTTTTAATCATATATGTTATGTAAGGGAGTGGGAGGTCTATATTTACCAACAATTTTTTTTTTTATTTACAAATTTTCTGGGGTGAAAAGAATATATTTAAAAAGTTGTGGATTCACCGTCACGTTGTATAATTTCAATATTACATCACAATTATCACTGGGGCAAAGTAAGCAAAATCATTTCAAAACTCAAAATGGGAAGAAAATCAGTTTAATTCTTTGCCAAAGTTTTATATCGTAATCTTCTCTAAACGAAGAAATACATCTTTTTTATGGATTTGTACATCTAAATGACGTGACATCAAAGAAGCTGAGGACGTCACATCTGCCTGTCTTCTCAGTGGTCTAGGGGTTCTACTCACCCCCTGGATTTTTATAAAAATTAACACTCCAAATTTGTTCTTTTTCTTCTTCTTTTTTGTCTTCTTCTTCATCTTCTCTTCCAGTTTCATAGAATTATAAATGAAATTTTAACAAGGGTCACTTTTTCCCCATTTTAAAAATTCTTATGGGGCAAAAGGGTAAACATGATAAACTGTAGCTCCTTTCTCTGCTGGGAAAAAGACAACTTACATGATGTACTGTAGTTTACAGCTAGGCTACAATATCTGGACCAGTTTTTACAACAACAACGACAGTGTTGCCTGATTAATCACATATATCTGTTGTTACAACCAATCAGAAAAAAGAAGGAAAATAGTCACTACAGAAATGAAGTGTTTACGTACTATGTCAGGTGTAACGAGTAAAGAATGACTTAGAAATGATATCAGGAGGAGAGTCGGCACAGAACCAATATTGAAATTTATAGGTAGACAACAAATTAAATGATTAAAAGTACTGTAGAAGTATCTGAGACATAGAAAAGTACTTTATACGAAGCGAACAGAAGTGTCTGTTCCAAAGATCTCTTCCTGCCCTGTCGCTGTGAGACATTCCAGGAGTAGAAAGAAGAAGAAGAAGAAAACAATTGTGACCATATTTACATACTCGTATTATATTCTCCCTACATATTCATAAACTTTCATTTGTTAGAAATAACTGTAGCTCTCTCCCTGTTTCATAAAGTATTTTCATAAACATAGCGGAAAATCCAAATGAAAACAAATTTAATAAAAATGCAAGCGATTGTGAAAACTAACCCGTAAGATGACATCCAGAGAACTCGTAGTCGTCATCCTGGTCCCAGTGTTTGAGTGACAGGTTTGACAGGGGCGTGGCGTTAGCAAATTCCAGGTTTGCAAAATGCCAGTCCAGGATTTGTCGATCACGCGAAGACAGATAGACGTCACTGTCATGCGAGGTCCCCAAAAAAAATTTTATTACAGGTCACACACAATATCGACTTTCTGGACATAGACAAATTTTTACAACATGTTTCTTCTTCATCTTCCTTTTACAATCAAAAGGAGAACAGGCCCTCGGCCAACTGAAGCTGTCATTTTATCCTTTGCTATTGTTAGCAGTCGACTCTGTGACTAAGTCGATGCGAACGCTTCGTAATGCCGGGATTTTCCGGGTTCGATCCCAGCTGTGGGCCATGTGCCTTGCATTGGTTTCGAAAGTGGTATCAAGAAAGCCGACCGTCCAGAAAGCAATGGCAAACTACTGGACGCAAATTTGCCTAGAAAACCCCAACAACAGCCAGGGGCTGTTGAGGTTGGTTCTGCAACGTCCTGTAAAGGATACACAACTAACCTATCGTTTGCAGCTCACCCCTGTTTTCAATGGCTAAGAAGAATCAGTCTCTTTCTGTTTCCTTCTTAGTCTTTGTCGAAGTTTCAACATCACTGCCATCGGGTTCCCCACACTTGCTCCGTTCCTGTGCCAGTGCAAATCAAATGAAATGTCCCCCATTGTCGCATTTGAAAAACTGATAAACAAACAATTAGGCCCGGAACAATCCAGAAATATGCACACGCAGTAAATGCATATGGCAGTTGCTAGAGGCATCAAAGCCAACAGTCGCCATAAGGAACAGTTTGTGTTGTTGGAAGTAGTCAGTCACAAAAAGTTGACTACACACATGTAGAAATTATTACATACGGTATTTCACCAGCTCGTACGTAAACTGGCCATACTGAATACCATGACACAACCGCTACACAAATGAAAGGCATTCCACATGAAAAACACAGCTCACAGGGCTGCACCAAGCATTAAACTCAGTAGCACCAGCAGCAAAACTGTAGATTACCATATGATCCATATGGGGAAACTGCACTAGCAAAGCTCAGGTCAGAAGCAACAACAACAAAAAACTTCAAAGTAAAACATTCTGCAATGCCTAATCCTCAATTTCAGCCAAACTTAGTTATTCTATAATGGGAGAAAAAAAAGGGGGGTAGGGGGGGGGTGTGTCAACCGTCTTGACAATGAAGGTTGGCTACAGTGCATCCACTGCTGTAAAGATTAACCTCTTCCATGGTGGACTCTCGTACATTATCCATTTTTTTTTTTTTTTTTAAATAAACCATAAGCTGCAGAAATCAAACCTAGTATTCAAGGATCATGAAATTGTTAAACCTTGTTCACTTACCTCTAAGCTACAGAGGTGACATGTGTATGTAATATAGACAGCCACAGTCTATTTGCTGGTGAAAGCATCAGAACAGGTAGAACAGATTTTAATCCTTCTTTGTGTTCACCATTTATAAAATCTGGCGGAAAGCTCTAGCTGTTTGTTCACTTCCAGACTTTAGCGTGGTTCCAGAACTTGAGTTTTGCGTGCACATCCGTTTTCCTGGTTTATTTGTATGCTGACTATTGGTTTCCCACCTCTTAGGCAGATGCACTCAGACTTTTAAAAAAAACACCCCTAATTAATTAGTCGCCTTGTATGACATGATAGGGGGCAGTGGGTCTAACCCCCCCTCCCCCAACATGGGGCTCCAGCACTACGTTAAGGACTAGATTATAGATGATACAGCACAATTACTTGATACAGATTGTTAGCACATGCCACACCAGATGATGCAAGAGAACGTACCTCGGTGGGTTTGCCTCCAGTTCATGCAGCTTGTCCTCTATTTCCTTCTGTTTGGCAGTTTGCTGGTCGTATTCCTGGTGATTGACAGAACCAAAAAAAGCAACTCAGATCTCAGTTTCCTTAATATAATATACACATATGAAAATATAAAATCTACACATCTTTGAGTATAGTAAACACAGAAATAAACTATACAAAACATAACAAAAATCTCTACAACATGTCAGTTCTTTCCTCTTGAGCCTTATGTGACGCATAGGGCAGAAGTCATAGCTCTCCATGTCTGGCAGTTCGTTGCCACCTGTTTTAGATCTTGGATATTCATTAGGCCCGTAGTTGAGCCATCCCTAATGATGGTCCTACACAGTCTCTCTCGGTCTTCCCCATTTTCTTTTCCCTTCTGGTGTCCATATGAAGGCCTGTCTTATCCATTCTGAGTGATGGCCGATGTAATTCCAACGACGGTGCTTTCTTATAAAACTGGATACATTATCTGTATCTTTAACATGTATGGCTTTTTTTTTTTTAAAAATTGCTGCAAGTTCCCATTTAAATTTACAAGCTTATTTATTATTTCTACAAAATAATTATCTTTTTCTGCACACACATACAATGAACCTGCCCGACTGTAGATAGCAATGTATATGTAAAAGTAAGCCATGTAAGTATCTGCATGGTGAGACTACAGTAAGGCTGGTCATGACTCTGCTGATATCAAAGCTTATGTGGCCACAAATAAAGTAACAACTGGCAACCACTGGTAATAAAAAAAGTAAAGTAAAAGTAAAGGTCCCTTTTCCACGCCTTCAGGCGTATTGGGAAGATAGGGCTAGACCGATAATTTTTTATAGACCAATCGGCATTTTGTGGATGATGGGGTCAGCATCACGCTGGCCGCCTTTACTTTCCACCTTTACTGCACCTGGTACCCACTCAAGGCTGGGCCGACCTGGGAGTCAAGGTCATTTTTTTGAAAACAAATCTCTGCCCTGTCAGGACGCAAAACCTCGACCTTCCGATCCGCAGGCGAGCGTCTCGCTGCCAACACGACCGCGACTCCCACAACCAGTGGTAATAACAGTTATAAATCAAATAGGACACAACTAGATTGGACACATCCTGAGAAGAAATGAGCAGAGAACCATCAAACTGGTACAAAATAGGAAATAAAGGAACTGAAGTGAGGACAGACAACAGAAACTCTAAAATGAATGTTGATCAGAAAGGCCAAGGGTGCTGGACTGGATTTCATTTATGACATCGAAATAACTGGACAGAATAATACGGAATGGATGAATCGACTGTGAGCCCTACTTGACAACCTTGATGGTAACCACAAAAGATCCAGAGGGTCTCCAATCCTAGTTCTCCATGTGTGTTTTGAAGTGCACAGATCTGATAGGTGTATCACCTGTGAATACACACTATAACAAACTTACATTCTGATCCCCCTTTAGTCAAACTTAGACCAAGGAGAAGACAACACCTGTAAACTGACCAACCTTGATTTCTGCATTAAGGTCCCTGAGCTTGCTTTTCACCAAAAACTCTGCAGTTATGTCCCTTGGTGGTTTCACATCTGAAGCCTCCTTCCACTGCCGGTGGAGTTCTTGAACACGTTCCTTTTGTGCTAACATCTAATAGAGCAAACATTTCTTGTCAAAATATGTCAATACATATTTACAAATTGGAATTTCCTATTGTGGTGAAACTGGATACTTTTTTTTCACAAATGATAGCAGAGACAAGTTTTTAATGACAACAATCAGAAAATGAAACTGGTTGTATTCTTTATTCCAACTTAGGTTCCAATATTTAAAAAAAAAAAGGAGGGGTTACTTTTTAAATTTGTAAACATGTAGGGGTTTTGGTGAAGTGCTTAAAACATTGGTCTCACTCTTGGAAGGTCATGGGGTCATTTCACGTATTGTATAATTTACAATTTAGTTCATAAGTATAATTTTTATGAGATCCCTGAAGATCGTTGCTGGAGTTGATGGTCTAAGCAGTGCACTCGGCAGTCAGCCAGCTGTTGTGCAGACTGCCTTAAATGATCTCCTCCTCCCCTCCTGCTCTGGAAGTAAAGTGATTTTATTATTGAATAATTTACCCAAATTGTTTTGATTTACTAAAGTCAAGCAAGAGAGATCAATGCCAAACGTGAACACTTACATCCTCCAATGAACATAAAATTGTGACAACAGAGATGAAATGCCTTAGAAGAGCTGCAGGAGTTTCAAGGAATGCTAGGAATAAAGCCAGTCTTACATATCATCAAAGAACAACAAATTAAGTGGTTTGAACACCTAACAAGAATGCCCTGGTACTATCCGCCACAGCGAGCCACACTAAAACGTTACAACGGGTATAGAGCAAGTGGAAGACCTCGGAAAAGATGGAGTGATGGCATTAAGAACAGCCTTACAGAAATGAACATCAGTCTTAATAGTGCTCTTGACAGAGCTCATCAACGAACATTACATCTCCCCCCGACCGATGAGGTACAAGGTGGAAGAGAAGAAGAAGAAGAAGAAGAAGCGAGACTCCAAGAGGAATTGAACACATACCTACCATAGAAGTAGGCAGTAAACCTCCGCTACCTCACCTAGAAGTCTATCTCCTTTATTCTATGGAACACTTAAAGTCTAGTATCATATTGATTGGCTGGCACTGCCACTGTAGCAGATGCCTGACCTACGACACTGTCACTGCCATTTGAGAGAGGACGATTGAAGGATTCTGGGGGCGGGGCGTCCAGATCCCTCCTAAGAATGCAAGAATTAGGAGTCTGTGGCATGACAAGCAGACCAGATGTACGAAAGTCTTGACAACCAGCATAGATCTAGTCTATTAGTTGCTGGTTGCTGAAGGGGAAAATCTGAACTTCAGTGGATGTGTCCGGAGTGCCGTGAGGAAAACCGAACTCATAACTTAAGCATTACTTCTACAAAGCTCTACATTCAAGTATTCCTTATAAAGTGTGACAAGCTGAACTGTTGTATTTTTATTTGTTATCACAGGGTGCAGAAAAGCCAAAGTGCTGGATTTATTAGTTATCGGAAAGTGCAACAATCATAAAGTTCTAGATTTATGATTTACTTGAAACTTGCAGAGCTGACAAGCTTGTATCAAGTGTGTGACAAAGCTCAAGAATGTGTGACAAACACAGAAGTGACAACAACCACAAACAGGTAACAAATACCACACCTGTGCCTGACACTTGCGCAGCCTCTCCTGCATCTCTATGATGCTTCTTTGATGTTCACACTGTTTGTCTTTCACATGCTTCTCCTGTAACCTGTCAAACAGAAGATCCAACAATGTCAAACAAGATATTTATCAATTCTTTTTCTTCTTCAGCATTCCAAGCCCTTGAGGTGCACTGCTGTAGATATCACCCGCCTCCATTCATCTCTCTGGTTGGCCTTCTCTTTCCAGTTGGTGACACCAAGTGTTTGCAGGTCTGTCTGGATATTATCTCTCCATCATCTTCTTTGTCTGCCTTGTGGTCTACGACCATTCATCTCCCTTGTGTATACAGTTTTTACTTCTCGGTCATCTGACATTCAATATGCCCAAGCCATTTCAGTCTATCAGCTCTCAATATGCCAGTGATAATTATCAATTCAACCACATTTTTTTAAAAAGTGTAAACCTGAGAGTCAACCTCAAAATATTACTGAGAAACACTGAACTAATTTATGTGGTACCGTGCAAACTTGCTATGGACTTCAAACGTATACTGTGTAATAATTACCGAAATAGTAAAGAGGAAAGGAGGAGGACGGGAAGAGAGGAAAAAAAGACAGAAAGAAAATATGATGGAACATAGGAAGGAACACAGGTGGGAGAGAGGAACATATTAAGGAAGGAAGGAAGGAAAGGAAGGAAGGAGAACACTATGACACAAGTAAGCAGCCATAGACTACAACATAAATGATCTCTCACTTGATGACGGCCTCCAGTGCCTGCCCTAGCGAGGCAGGTTTTCCGTTGATCTCATTGAAGTTGACCTGGTGTGACAGGTAGGAGGTCGTCTCCAGCAGTCGGTTGAACTCTCGCTCGACCATCTCATCCTTCTCCTTGGCCACCTGTTGGCAGCAAGCAGGCAATGGAAAAACCAACTAATTTATTCATATTAAAAGCTTTATGATCTAACAGTAGGGACAAGACTATGTTAAGTAAGATGGGAAAACAATTTTCCTTTTCTCCAAGCTCATTGGCAGTAAACTCTGGCAAATAAGTTCTGGTTGTTTCCACTTCTGAACTCTAGTCCTGTTCCAGAACCAAAGTGTTGCATGCACATCTGTTTTACAGGTCTGACTCAAATGTATACAGACTGCTAGTTCTTCTCCTCTCAGGCAGAGGCACTCTGATTTTGAAGGCATCCCTCAATAAGTCAACTCTTGAGTCACGCTTCTGGGTAGGCAGTGGGTCTATTCTTTGGGTTCCCCGGAACCCACACGGGGAGGGACAACAATGAAAAGCGTACAATTTATGATAAGTAAAAGAATTACATGAGGGACAAAATGTGATAAGTACAATAATGAGATGAGGCGATAATAATGAAATGACCATAGGACAACAAAGAGTAGCACATAATATATTGTTGCCAATAAGCTAAGTGAAATTTTGACAATTTTCAACAAAGTGAATTTTCAGGGCCGTTGTTTGTCGCTTTACAATATGCCAAAAGCACATATGTGAATTCCTACTCCAAGTAGGTCAAAATGAAGTATTACTACATAATTTTTATTCACCCCTCTTATGCTCAAACTGCAATGTTCTCGAAACAAGGATTTAGCACTCAGCACTTTGGCTATACAATAAGTACAAGAATAAAATAGGGACAAAAATGCAGTGAATGAAGACTATTGTGAAGACAAGAGCACAAGAATGTGGTTGAGTACAAGTAGCAGATGAGCAGACTTACAGTGCATCCATTACTCTCATACAGGGGACACTTCTGCTTGATCTTGTGCAGCTCCATGTTCACCTGTTTGCTGAGGATTGTCACTGGGTTGCCTCCTGCAAGCAATCACGATTTCTATCAATCATCAACAGTTAACTCATTTCTTCTTCTTAACTAGCTGTAAACTCTGGCAGAAAGTTCTGGCTGCTCATCCACTTCTGGACTTTGGTCCTGTTCGTGAACTTTATAGTTTTCCGTGCAAATCCTTTTCACAGACCTGGCTTATTCGTATGCAGACCGCTGGTTCCTTGCCTGTCAGGCAGATGCACTCCAACTTCGAAGGAAATACCCCTAATTAGTCGCCCTGTTTAACATCCCTGTTGGAGGCAGGGAGAGGGCACCCCTCCCCAAAAAATAGGGTTCTGAAACCCACATGCAGAACTATCCTTATGTGATTAAGTATAGATACATTTTTTTTAAATGTAAAAAACCCTTTTAATGTCAGTGACATATCAGGCACATAATGATGGTCTCAAATTGTTTGACTACCTGGAACTAGGTGGGTGATGTGGCCAACACCCAAATGGCTGCCTCAACTTCTCAGAACGTGCCTGGTATTCATTAAGGGCTGGGCTGAGCTAGCAGCCACAGTAAATATTGAACGAAACAATTCAGTCTCAATGTGGATTCAAACTCATCTTTCAAGTTGCAAGGTAAGCATCTAGCCATGGCACTCCAATGTGATTGTGTAAGCATCTAGCCATGGCACTCCCATGTGACTGTAAGTGTCCATCCATTGCACTCCTGTGTAATTGTGTAAGCATCTAGCCATGGCACTCCCATGTGACTGTAAGTGTCCATCCATGGCACTCCTGTGTAATTGTGTAAGCATCTAGCCATGGAACTCCCATGTGACTGTAAGTCTCCATCCATGGCACTCCTGTGTAATTGTGTAAGCATCTAGCCATGGCACTCCCATGTGACTGTAAGCGTCCATCCATGGCACTCCAATGTGATTGTGTAAGCATCTAGCCATGGCACTCCCATGTGACTGTAAGTGTCTATCCATGGCACTCCTGTGTAATTGTGTAAGCATCTAGCCATGGCACTCTCATGTGATTGTGTAAGCATCTAGCCATGGCACTCCCATGTGACTGTGCCTATAAATGGCACTCCCTTTGATTGTCTAGAAATGGCACTCCCATGTGATTGTGTAAGTGTCTAGCCATGGCACTTCCATGTGACTGTGTCTAGAAATGGCACTCCCATATGATTGTGTAAGTGTCTAGCCATGGCACTCCCGTGTGATTGTGTAAGCATCTAGCCATGGCACTCCCATGTGACTGTGTCTAGAAATGGCACTCCCACACGATTGTGTAAGCATCTAGCCATGGCACTCCCAAGTGATTCTATAAACGTCTAGCCATGGCACTCCCACACGATTGTGTAAGCATCTAGCCATGGCACTCCCATGCGATTGTGTAAGCATCTAGCCATGGCACTCCCATGCGATTGTGTAAGCATCTAGCCATGGCACTCCCAAGTGATTCTATAAACGTCTAGCCATGGCACTCCCACACGATTGTGTAAGTGTCTAGTCATGGCCCTCCCATGTAACTGTGTAAGCATCGAGCCATGGCACTCCCACGTGCTTGTGTAAGTGTCTAGCCATGGCACTCCCACATAATTGTGGAATTCTGCACAAATGAAAAGCATTGAACAGGAAAAACACAGCTCACAGGGTTGCACTAAGCACTAAACTTAGTAGCTCAGGCAGCGAAACCGTACACTACCGTCCATATGTGGAAATTGCATTTGCAAAGAACTGTTGACAGTGAAAAAATAATCTTGAAGCTTAACAGTCTGATACACCTAATCCTCAATTTTAGGCCAGAAGTCCTAAACAAAAACAAACAAAAAAACACACAAGATTGCCTATGCATATCTGTGAGTTCTAAAGTAGCCAGATGGTATTAACCTCTACCAATCAGATGCTCCTTGCACAACAAGACAATGTTCACATTACAATAATATCTATTCACATTACCTAATATAAAACTTTCTTCACATTATAATCACATCTATTTACATTACATAATATTAAACTTTGTTCCCATTACAATCATATATATTCACATCAAATATTGTAAGATGTTCACATTATAATTACTTCTATTCACATTAAATAATAATACACTGACATTATAATATCTATTAATATTACACAATGTAAGACTTTGATTACATTATAACTGCATATATTCACTTTACATAATGTAAGACTCTATTCACATTAAAATCCTGCCTATTCACATTAAATAATGTCAGACTTTGTTCACATTATAAGCACACATCTATTCACATTACACAATGCAAGACAAAGTTCACTTTGTAATTACATTTACAATTCAATTCACATTGTATAATGTAAGACCGTTCAAATTATAATCACACTAGATTCACATTACATAATGCAAGATATTGTTCCCATTATAATTACATCTACTCACATCAATAGTATAAATATCTTCACATTATAATCAAATCTATTCATATTAATGTAAATCTGTTCCTAATATAATCCCATCTACTCACATTACACATTAAAAACCCACTGTTATCCACATATGTATGACAGCGATTGCAACATCAGGGAATGTTCAAAATCAATAACAGCCTGCCACACAGGAAACTCCTGGGATACAAACCTAGCCCTGTGACCACCATAGCTCCGAGATCTGCTATGTAATTTCCCCGACGGAATGTCTGGATTCGACCACCCACTCTGTCCTAAATGGCAATACAGAAACAAAATAAAGCATTAACAGGCAGGACACAGCAGGAGGCAAGACACAAACAGCTGTGTATATATAGTTCCACACTTGGGTATGAATCCACGACTGTTGACAAACAAAGCATTTTAGCCACTGAACTTGGCATACATAAAAACTGACCCTGATTATAACCGAAGCTGTTTCCAGCAGGGTTGAACACAGTCCAATCTACAAAGGAAACAAATCTGCACTGAGACTGAATTTTTTTTATGACTTTAGCCATATGGGATCAAACCCGGTGCAGTGAAGTAAAACCTCTCAACTTTAACCTTTAGTCTTTTTCTGCCAAAGAGTCGGATTATTTTTTCAAAACTGATCTTAGGCTCCCAGGTCAACCCAATCTAAAATGCCCACTACATCACCTATCAAGTGGTCTATACAAATATATATCTAGTCAAATCTTTACTGATGCATCAAAAGCAAGACATGTGTCCATTACTTAAAAAACATTTGTTAACAAGCCTTACCTGTTCATGCTATGATAAGTCAGCAACAAAACTAATACCCCTACTATATCCTGTCCATAATGTTATAAGTTAGCAATAAACTATTGCCCCTGCTTCGAACCTTACCCCGTCCATAATGCTATGATAAGTGAGCAACAAAACTATGAATCCTGTTACAGGCCTTATGATATACATGGTGTTAAGATAAGTCAGCAACAAAACCATTACCCCTGCTACAAACCTTACCCTACAACGATGCTAAGTCAGCAACAAAACTATTGCCCTTGCTACAAACCTTACTTTATCCAGGATGCTATGATAAATCAGCAACAAAAGTATTACCCCTGCTACAAGCCTTACCCTGTCTATAATGCTAGGTTAGCAATGAACTATTACCCCTGCTACAAACCTTACCCTATCCAGAATGCTAAGATAAGTCAGAAACAAAACCATTACCCCTGCTACAAACCTTTCCCAATCCAAGATGCTATAAGTCATCAACAAAATCATTACCCCTGCTACAAGCCTTACCCTATCCAGGATGCTATGATACAGTCAGCAACAAAACCATTACCCTTGCTACAAGCCTTACCCTGTCTATAATGCTGGGTAAGAAATGAACTATTACCATTGCTACAAGCCTTACCCTGGCTAGGTAAGAAATGAACTATTACCATTGCTACATGCCTTACCCTGTCTATAATGCTAGGTTAGAAATGAACTATTACCATTGCTACAAACCCTGTCTATAATGCTAGGTTAGAAATGAACTATTACCACTGCTTCAAGCCTTACCCTAGATTCCAAGATGATGACATCCACACCAAAAGACTGCAACTGTCTGGCAGCCCCAAGACCCGCTACTCCAGCTCCAATGATTATCACCTTACAGTTCTTCTTGGCTGAAACACAATGTATACAATTTATTGACAGTGACACATCCTCTGTTGAATACTCCCAGGAACACAACACCTCACCCATCTCATCCGTAAAAGAAGTTACAATCAAAAAGTCAGGTGCCATATCAACAATGAAGAATGGCTGCAGGTTTTCTTCTTATTCTTTGTGTTCATCGGCAGCAAACTCTGGCGGAAAGTTCTAGTCTTTGGTCCACTTCTGGACTCTAGTCCTGTTCCAGAACCTGAGTGTTGCGTGCACATCTGTTTCACAGGTCGGACTCGCTTGCATGCAGACTGTTGTTCCTTGCCTCTCCGACAGATGCACTCTGACTTCAAAGGCAGCTCTCAATTAGTCGACTCTTACTACAAGCTTTTGGGTAGGCAGTGGGTCTGTTCTTGTTTTCCCTTTATTAAGGCCCAATGACTGAGACTTGCTGATTAATGATGATTTAATAATAAGTACATCGTAGGGACTGGGCAGAGACTGTTCACTTAATTGTCACAAGTATGTTATGTTTTGTGTTCACTTAATTGTGTTATGTTTTGTTTGTTAAATGATTAATGCTGCCTGCTCAGGGCAAGAGATTCAAACAGCATCAAAAAATAATTTACAATTATAATCAAAATTACAACAGTAAACAAACACTACAAGAAAACAAAATCACATTACATATTGCTAACTACCTGGAAGTGGTTTTAGTCTCTTGTATATGCCAAAATTGATAAAACTCTGCCTCTCTAGGAATGCATGAACTCTCAAAACCAACTGGCCGTCACCTGCAGAAACATTTCACAAATGTACTGGTCAATTACCACATGTCAAGTATTTAACGTCTGCTCATCCTCACCTCTGGTACTCACAGTTAGCTAGATTTTGCTGGAATCCCGGGTCCATAAAAAAAAATGCCTCATGACTAATGGGCCAACAGCAACAGGCTATTGTATTAACTGAAGATGCTTCCCAAAAGTTCTGTCACAGCAAAACTTCTTAATTTTCAGCGGCTGTAAAATGTAAAGATCTCACTGTTCATTCACTTCTGGACTTTGGTCTTGTTCCGCAACTTGAGTTTTACACACACATCCATTTTTGTCAGATCTGGCATGTTAGTTCCTTGCCTATATGGCAGATGGACTCCAGACTCTGAAAGAAACATCCTTAATTAGATGCCTCCTATGACTTGCCTGTTAGGGGGGCACTGGATCTATTCTTCTTCTCTCAAAGTGGGACACCAGAACCTAAGCAGGCAGAGTGCCAAACAATAGATGTTAATTTGTTAATTAGATATTTTCTTATTTTACTGATGCTATGTCAGGGGTCAAATATTTAACCTCTACATTTTTTTTTGTCAGTCTCGTTCTAATATTTTTTAAGCAACAGCCATTGCTGTTAATAACAGTGCCAAGATTACCACAGTCTTCGCTTTCCTCATCAGTGACAGATAAGTGTTATATTCTTCTTCTTCAGCATTCTCAGCCCTTGTGGTTAGTTGCTGCAGATATCACCCATCTTTATTCATTGCTCTGATGGCCTTCTCTTTGCAGCTGGTAACTCCAAGTGTTTGTATATTATCTCTCCATTGTCCCCTTGGTCTGCTTCGTGATCTACTCCCATTTAGCTCCAGTTATTGTCTCTGTTATCTTCCATTCTCTCTACATGTCTCAACCATTGCAGTCTATTAGCACTCAGAATGTCAGTAGTGGTAATTTAAACACTATAAATTTTGTTGTTGCTTCTCATTCTCCTTCTTCTTCTTCTTCGCGTTCACCAGCTGTACACTCTGGCAGAAATTTCTGGTTGCTCGTCCACTACTAAACTGCAGTCCTGCTCCAGAACCTGAGTGTTGCGTGTGCATCAGTTTTACAGATCTCATTCTCTTGAATACAGACTGTTGGTTCCTTGCCTCTCCGGCAGATGTATTCTGACTTCAAAGGAAGCCCCCCAATTAGTCGACTCTTACGACATGCTTTTGGGGAGGCAGTGGGTCTATTCTTGTTTTCCCCACAATGGGGCCCCGGAACCCACACAGGGGTTCTCATTCTCCATTTTCCGCTGATTGCACCTTTGATGCATAAAAAGATTCATCACAAGACTGCTTTAAAAAGTCTGTAACAATATCTAAACTGTCATTACTGACTGTACCTTTGATGCATAAAAAGATTCATCACAAGACTGCTACAATATCTAAACTGTCATTACTGACTGCACCTTTGATGCATAAAAAGATTCATCACAAGACTGCTTTAAAGAGTCTGTAACAATATCTAAACTGTCATTACTGACTGTACCTTTGATGCATAAAAAGATTCATCACAAGACTGCTTTAAAAAGTCTGTAACAATATCTAAACTGTCATTACTGACTGTACCTTTGATGCATAAAAAGATTCATCACAAGACTGCTTTAAAAAGTCTGTAACAATATCTAAACTGTCATTACTGACTGTACCTTTGATGCATAAAAAGATTCATCACAAGACTGCTTTAAAAAGTCTGTAACAATATCTAAACTGTCATTACTGACTGTACTTACCACTTTTGTGGTGCGACGGGGTGGGGGCGTTTTCGCTTTGAGCAGGAGGATTTACAGCCTCATGGCTTGTGCTGGCACCATGGACTGTGCAGGTTAAAACTGTGTGCCCTTGACCGAACAATACAGTCTTACCAAGGATTCGAACCAGGGCCTCCCGCCTGAGATCCCAGTATTTTTTTTAAACTGTTTTGGCCCCCGACCTACGGTAATAATATTACTGGTTTTAATGAATAATGACAATAAAACAATACATACTGTTGTATGGAGGCTCAATATCTTGTATGGCATTCTCAAAGGTCAGCTGTTGTTTGGGATTCTCCAACCACAGCTGCAGCTGAAATCACCAAGAGTTGCTTTAGGGAGCACAATGAGATCACAGAAAACATTCAGCCTTCTTCTTCTTCTTTCTCTTTTACTGCTTCGGGTGTCGAAGTAGATATAAGGTTCTGCTTCTGGCTCAATCATAGACAGAATGTGCTGTTACAGAACTTCTCTGATGTTATCTATCCACTTTATTTCTGGCCTACCTTGTGCTCTGCATCTTTCTTCTCTTTTGGTGTACAGCTTGAACGGTATTGTGTCACAAGGCACTCTCTCTGTGTGGGTAAACCACCTGATTTGCTATCTCTGTGTATAATTTAGAATTGGTTCTGTGCCGACTTGTTTTCTTACGACCTCATTCCTGATTCTATTTCTTTTAGTCACTCATTCAGCCCTTCAGACATCTCATTTCCACAGCTACGAAGTTCCTTTTATCGTTTGCTGTCAGTGACCATGTCTGGCAGCGGCAGCGTCGAGTCAGAATGAATATGCTTTGTATAAGATGTTTCTATGTACTGATCGGGACTGTCTTATGCTGTAAGGGGGAGGAGGTTGGCAGGGCTGGAGAGAACTAGTTGTTTCAATACATCAATCAGCTTTACATATATATGGCAATTTTCTCATACAGAACTTTTTGGAGAGCATCTTCAGTTAAAACACTCCATGGAAAGGCAAGATGGACATACAATCAGACAGTACACAATGTGAACAATATTTCAACAGAAACAACTTACAATTCTATTCCTCAAATAGAGAAACACCTTGAGAGACTGTGGCGAGCCTTGTACAATGTCTGGAAATGCTGCAGCCTCCACGGCGGTCATCTTGTCTACAGGCAGCCGACTCTGGAAGGCAGCTCCCTCAAGCCCTGCACATACACATATGAGATATACCACAAATACTTGTATTTGCCAGCCATCATTTTTTTTTTCCCACTAACCACACATGTAAAGACAGAAAGAAGTTCGGCATAGCTTTTGCATCACTTTCTGAATTGTTTTAGATTTCTTTAAATGTGATACAACTTTTACGTGATTTTTCTATAGCAAATGATAAGGGAAAAGGTCTCAAACTGTACATTCTACTCTGTCATTGATAAATCCCAGCCAGATAGTGACAACAGTTTTTATATTGCAATTGATAATGCATGTGCTAAACCTATTGCTGATAATTTAGGTTAAGATGAAGACTGAACAAAACATTTTAATCAAAGCTGTTTTCCAGATTTTCAGTTGTGAAATCTGACATGTCATTCAAAAATGATCATAACATCCAAAGTATTTAAATTAACTGCTTCAAATAAAAACCAGCTGATACAAAACTGAATAGAGAAAGCATGTGAATTCTTAAAAATAGATATCAGTGTAGCTGAACAAGTAAAAATTAAGGTAAGCACAACATTTTTTGTGTGTAAATAATTTTCATATGTGTCTAGTATATTTGCTATGTGATTTTAATAATATTTTGTTGTAATACTGCTTCTTAAATAGTTAAGATTTATTCTGCACTCATTTCTCTTAAACTTGATACATTATATGTCCCTATACAGCCAATACTTTTTAATTCTTCAGGAAGGTTTGAGCTTCGTCATGTTGCAGAAAAAAAAATTCTGCTCAAAATTAATGCTGTCCAAACTCCAGAAATTAAACGTCGTCCTTAAAGAGTTAACTGACTGGTATATTTCTGACTAAAAGTCACCCCAAAAAAAAAAATGTTTCCTCTGCAACAAAGTTGATCCTCTTACCTCCACCTTTGCAGGCGTTCACAACTGACTTTATGTAATAACATAATAAATGTTCGTGTAGGAAAGAGTCTGAAAACAAGAGTAGAGTGCATTAAAAACATAATTTTTTTTCTTCTTCTCTGCATTTACCGGCTGTAAACTCTGGTAGTAGATTCTGGTTGTCCTTCCACTTTTAGACTTTAATCTTGCTCCAGAATCTGTGTTTTGCAAGCACATCCATTTTACAGATCTGGCTTATTGATATGCAGACTGCTGGTTCCTTGCCTCTCAGGCAGATACACTCTGGCTTTGAAAGAAACATCCCTAATTAGTCAACTCTTACAACATGCTTTTTAGGAGGTACTGGGTCTATTCTCCATAACCTCGACCTCTTTTCCCATGATGGGGCCCAGGGAACTCACATGAGGAGGGGAGATATCAGAATAGCTCACCTGAAGGGTCATCAGCCGAATGGTCACTTTCTTCTCCGACAATTTCCTCTTCTTGTTTTGCCGCTGGCTTACTTTCTTTCTCCGTCACCTCCTTGTCCTTAGTTTCCTTCTCTTTTTCTTTAGTCTTTGTTGTTTCTTTTTCTTTCTCTTTCCTATCTTCCTCAGAATAGAACTCGTCTTCAGAAATGTGAGCAAGCCGGTCATCCATTTCTTTGTACTCAACCTAAAATACAATAATATTCTTACTTGTCCTAATAACAGATGTTTAAACTTGCACACACACACAAATGACTGATGTTTCAACTTGTACACACACACAGCTAATGTGTCAGCTTGTATAAACACAAACACAACTGATGTTTCAACTTGTACACACACACAGCTAATGTGTCAGCTTGTATACACACACAACTGATGTTTCAACTTGTACAACTGATGTTTCAACTTGTACACACACACATGACTGATGTTTTAACTTGTCCACACACATAACTGATATTTCAGCTTGTCCACACACATAACTGATGTTTCAGCTTGTCCACACACACACACACACATAACACAATTCTTCAACTTGTACACACATATAACTGATGTTTCAGCTTGTACACACACACACACACAACTGATGCTTCAACGTGTATATGCACACATAACTGATGTTTCAACTTGTACACACACAACTATTGTTTCAACTTGTACACATATATAACTTATGTTTCAACCTGTACACATAACTGATGTTGTGACTCAAGGTATGAAAATCCAAAACCGAATACTTGGTATTAAGTGGCTAGATAAGATCATTAACACTGAGGTAGTGGAAGGGGCAGGTATTACACACGTTTTCTCAATGCTCAATCTCTGAAGGCTCAGGTGGGTGAGTTACACTTGAAGAATGCAGGATGGTAGAGTCCCTAAGGATATCATCCTTTATGGTGAATTACAGATGGGTAGAAGAGATCAAGGCCAGCCACTTCTACGATATAAAGAGGTGCACACTGCAAGCATGACCATTGACATGCTAGTGGTGTATTGGCTGTAGCTAGCGAGCCCATATTTTTGTATTACAAAACCTACTGTAGATTGACTGGCACTTGCTGGATGATGTAGTAAACATCCTACCTGTAACTTTTACTTCCCTGGATATTTCCTTGCTTTTTTCTTGCAGTACACAGTACCGGCACTTTTTTAGGCATCATTCTTTATTCAGCACTCATGTAACAGACACTTTGTGGGCAGTACTGGTACCTTTTTTTTTATACACTGTGGTTGGTGGGTACTGGTACCTTATTTTATATGAAACAAACAAGCACTGCAGGTACAAATTTTGGACTGGGTCGATTTAGGAGCCATGACTTAGTGACTATGGTAAATTATTAGTAAAATAGGCCTCGAAACCACTGCCTACCCAAAAGCATGTCATAAGAATCGACGGTTCTCCTCGGAACTTCTACCCGATATTATGGCGGCCTAATACATACCCTAACAGGGCCTCAATCCTATGCAGAATGGGGACTTCCTGCCGGGGAACAAATTGTGGCAAAACTAGGATTGGCTCCAAATAACGAAACAAATGCGCTAACAGGGTCTCAGGAATGTTAATGGCGGACCTGTTTCTGCGACTATGCCGCACCGCCGACAGTATCCCCCGTGCAGCTACGCGCGGCGCTGATGGGGGGGGGGCTAAAGTAGATGGCTGGGACTCAGGAGCAGCAGCTACCGCATCTCTTGCAACTTCCTCCAATTTATTTGCTCGTGAGTCCCAGACATCTAGTTTTGATCCCTATCCGTGCCATGCTCAGTGGTGAGTTTAATAAAAAGAACACTATCGCTAATCTGCGTCGGAGCGCGTGGTCTCCCCGTCATCTCCATAGTATCCTCTGTAATGTTGCGTGTCTTGAAATTGTCAATGGTCGCTAGTATCTCCATAGTATCGTCTGCAGAAACGCTTGAAATTGTCAACGGTTGATATTATCGTCTGCAGTATTGCATGTCATGACATTGTTAAGTAATCCTAGATTTTCTGCGATGTGTTTGTCGCAGGAAGTCCGCATTTTACACACGACTGAGGCCCTGTTAGGGTATTTTTTTAGCCGCCATAATATCCGGTAAAAGTCCACGTTTCACCTGGCCCCATGGATTTATGGCATTTTAGACAGTAATTGTCTTGTCTCTCTACCAAACCCCAGAAAGTTTCACTTAGATATGGCAGCCAGGCACTGATACATGATGACTCACCGTCACATTTAGGAGTAACCTTCGACCCAAGACTCACATGGAGAAAACAGAAAAGACACAGAGCAAGGGACTCAAGAGAACACAACTGATGAGGAAGTTAGCTGGAACAGACTGGGGGGCAAACCTCAATGTCCTTGCGATGATTCTCTTTTATCTTCTACTGGCTCGCCTCATCGCACGCTCGCTGCCAACTCACAAAACCGACATCACACGACGAGCAGAAAAAATGGACGACTGGGAAACAACACGATACTGTTCCAGTACTTTAATCTTCCACTCGCGGCTTACACAGCTGGCACATGAACTTGACAACTGTCCAGGCACACATTATAATGTAAGAATCAATTATTACCTTCAAGCAGAAATCCCAATCGATTTACACTAACATCGTAAACGAAACACAACAGCTGTCCTGACAGATACACTCAGACGACCGGCAGACATATTACTGGCCAGCTTTCTTCGCCAAGTTGGACTGGAACAAATTCACTCAAAAACATCTGCTGAATTCACACATCATCCACCGCTGTCCATGCACACTGTTCCTGGGTCCAAAACGAGACTGCTCACAAACCTTTTCTTCGCTATTATATAGCCCTCTGATCTATCCTGTTCTAGAATATTCTGGATTCATTCTCACGAATTTCCCACTGTTGAAAGTCGTGTCTGGCCCGTGATAATTCACATTTCACACAAATCCTGTGAACAATCATGTTTCACATAAAAACCTGACTTTCAGATGTCTCTCATGAAACTCAAGACATAAATCTCGTGTTATCTCAGCCAGTCAAAACATTCGTCTTACATCTATTACTGACGTCATCTATCGGGCATAAATTAATGAGGAGAAAATGACTCACTACATTCTCCCCCACCCCAAAAACATGTTTTACATTTTCAATTAATCAGGTGTGAACATTTCACTGAACATTGTGATTCTAGACCTTTGTAGTGAATCATTTTCGACAAGTTCATTTCCAACCAAGTTCCCTTTACCTCATTAGGTTAACAATTCAAACACTCTAAAATGCCATCTGTTGGGTCTTTGCACGACTGTGAATACCTTAATGGGATCCTCACCCCAGGCACTCCCCTTTTAGTGCGGAAGACCAATAATCTGGCTCCATAGGTATCCCCACCTAGTTCTAAAGTCGGTATAACAACCGAACCCCTCTCCTGGCACCCCCCGATCGGTGCGGAAGTCCAAAATCTTGGCTCTAAAACCGAAGTGTGACCCCATGAAGTCCCACCCTCGCTATTCCCATTCATGAAAGCCCTCAACAATGGCTAAATCAGCAATGTATGGTTTTGTTCCCAACTATGTAAGGTACAAGATGTAGTTAATTACCTTGTCTTCAGAAAACCACAACACACATTGGGGTTAAGTTTCTGTGCCCATTTTACATTACTGGGAGTAAGTTTTGAATTTTTCCGCGAAAGGGCATGATAGCT